GGCGCTCGCAGGTAATTACATTGTCTTAATGGCCGGCCCGTGATGGCACCGACATTGTGTGACGACAAAGCGCCACTCTCGCCGCACCTGACGCGGTCCGGCCCAGTGTGGGGCCGCCCTGACGGCGCGCGAGGCCCGCGCGCCGCCGCCCGACGGCTGGATCAGGACCGCACCGCCGCCACGGGGCTGGGGCGAGCACGCCGACGTCGTGGGATGAGGACGGCGTGGTCTGGTGGGGACCGCCCCCACCGGGCCGATGCACCTCGGATTGCACGTGAACGCATAATGGAGCGGCGCAAGTCTGCCGGGTGCCGCGCCCCGACTCTGGCCGCGGTCAGCTGGCTCTGACCCGGCGCTGATGAGGTCAACCCTGGTCAGCCTCAGGTCTACGTGAGTCAGCCGCTGACCCGGATGGCCTCGGCCTCAGACCATTCCGGGTCAGACCAAAATGACCGGCCAGCGGTGGTCAGCCCGGCGTAAGCGTCGGCCAGTTCATCTGAAGTGCTGCCGGTTCCCCGACCGACCGAGCCCCATCGGCACCGGCCGGCCGCTTATCGGCTCAGAGGTGCTCCCCGGGCCCAGGCCGCACTGGCCATAGGCCGAGCGGTGGGCAGCGCGCACCACCAGATACCCAGCGTCACAGCGCGGCCGGGCGGGCCACTTGCGGACCGCGCTTTGATGGCGGTGCCGTAACCACAGGCCTCGGCGTCGGCGGCGCGGAAGAGACACAGCCGTGATTACCAGTGACCCGGCGCGGCGACGTCGGGTTGGGAAGCGGCCACTGTCATGCTGTCACGCGTCACGCGCGCGGCGGTCACGCGCCGACACTGGCGCGTCTCCGCGCGCGCGCCCGCACGACCCGGCATCGTTCTCGCGCCGGAGCGTCACGCGTCACGCCGGGTCGTGCGGCGTGACGCGTGCCGCGGGGCCGCCAGCGGCTCATGTGGCGGCGGCGGCCACGGGCACTCCAGGCATTGGTGCGGCAGATGGGACGTGGAGAAGCAGGTGTTGCCTTCACCCCAGCGACCTCGAAAGTGAGACGGCGGTGGAGCTGGCCGCCCTCCGCAGCCTAATCTCACGGCTCGGTGTCTACCGCCGCCCGCCCTCCCTGATCTCACGGCTCGGTGTCCACCGCCGCCCGGGGCGGGCGGTCCGCCGCTGCCCGCCCTCCCTAATCTCACGGCTCGGTGTCCGTCGCTGCCCGCCCTCCCTGATCTCACGGCTCGGTGTCCACCGCCGTCCGTCCTCCCTGATCTCACGGCTCGGTGTCCACCGCCGCCCACGCCGAACTCGTGTCTGTCTCGCAAGTCAAGCGAGCGGGGTGGTGATAACGCTGCTGAATCGCGGGCGTGAGTGGGGCTTAATGGCGCTTGAAGGACGCACTACAGCTCAAAATCGTCATTGCCCATCACAAAATACGATGATGGCTTGGATCATGATGCAGTTCTGTTTTTGCAACAATCTGAGTTAACCCCAATGGTTATTGCCAACCACTACAGGCATTATCGTTGGGTTTTATCACCGTATGGTTAAAATTGGCAATGAACGAGGAGGCCGCCTGCTGACCATAACCACAAGACGCGGGTGTCACTGTTAATCCGAAGCTCTCCAGGCCAGAGCAAGACGTTGGTGATCTACGTGGAATGCAATAAGCGAGCACATATGTCGAGCCTTCTGCTCCTGAGCCCCAGTGTCGGACGGCTTTCGGACCGTTTAACCGAGACGAATGCCAACCCAGATTGCGAAACATCCGATCTGCGTGAGGCGCTGGCCCCGCCGCCTGTAAGGTCGCCGATTCCGGCCTGCTTTTTCGTTGTGAAACACGGCGCGTGCAGTGATGTGAGGGGGGGGGGGGGGGCCGGGGGCACGTGATCGGCCGGTCCGGTCGGACAAAGACCGACGGCCGTGACCCGACGGACAGGAGGTCAAGGCTTCGTCCGGCCACACGAAAAACGCGGCGACCTCCGAGGCGTATGCGGCGTTCCGGCGGAAGCGTTCTAGTCCCGTGGCCGACTTACACCGAGCCCTGGGAGAAGACGGCAGGCCGCTGCCTCCGCCGCCGGCTGTCCGCGCCAGCCCGCCTGCCCCTTGCCGCCGGCGGCTGCGTCAGACGGGTCTGAGTCACCGCCGGCGGGCCTGATGACGCGTCCTCTCGCCGCCGGCCTGCACCCGTGCACAGTCTACTCCTGCTGCCCCCTCCCCCCCCCCCTTCCCCCGGATTCCGGCCTGGTGACTGCGGCCCTGACCGCCTCCGGCAGCAGACACAAACAAGACCCTCATGGCGCTGCCCGGTGACGGCAGAATGATGCGTTCACCCTCGGACTGTCGGCTCGTTACGGCGCGCTGATGGCGTTCACACCGGGCCGGGCCGGCCGGCCCACTCTCACTAAACACCGAGAACGAGGTGCGGGGAGCGGTCGTTATCCGGCGTCGGGCGGGAAGCCGGAGATCTGACGGTGACGGTGATGATGGCTCCACGCCGCTCCAGGGCACATTCGGCCCGGCTGAAGATGCTGGTCACACGGCACCCCCGACAGCTGACGTCCTAACCGTCACGTCACGTGCGTCACTGTGAGGGCGGCCCTTCCGGCCTGGATCCCGGCGGTGCCCCTGCTGCAGTGGCGACGCCACATCGGAGACGATTGGCAAAGTCACGCTCCCATCATCGCAACACCCGCTGGGTTTGGAATCCCGGTTTCCCAGGCATTGGTTGTCGCCGGTTACATCACCGCTTCTCGGGCGCCATCTGCTGGAGCTGGCGCCGCCGCGCTTGCCATCGGACACGATCCATACAGCAACGATCGCTGCTCTGAACGAGGTCTCGCTGAACTGGACTGCTGCGGCCATCACTGAACTGTCGCTACTGAACTGCTGCGGCCAGCACCGGACTGCCGCTGCTGAGCTGTTGCGGCTATCACCGAACTGTCGCTGCCAAACTGCTGCGGCCACTACCAAACTGTCGCTGCCAAACTGCTGCGGGCCACTACCAAACTGTCGCCGCTGAACTGTTGCGGCCACCCAGGCCATCCCGCATCACTGTGGCTCCCTCCCTGAACTCAGCCCGGCAGCGGCGACGTGACCAACGTCTGAGCCCCAGGTCACGGAGACCCTTGCCGCGGGTCCGTTGCCGGTGCCGCTGACCGCTGACTGCGTGACCCGCCGGGCGCGTGACACGCCGGGCGCGGCCGCCCGTCGCCGCGTCGGCGGCCATCCTCCGCTGTCAGCGCGCCCGACCGTGTTTACACAACCCGCCGCCGCGCCGCCGCGCCGCCGCGCCGCCGCGCCGCTCCATTATGAGCCCATGCTGGGAATGCGACGAGGCAGCGGCGGCGGCGCGGCTTCACTTCCTGCGAGCGACAGATGGTGCGGCGCGCCGCCGCCGCCGCCGGCGGGATGGTGTGCTGGCTGTGCGCGGGTCAGTCGCCACCGGGATGGGACGCTCTCGGCATACCCGCCCCGGGGCTGCGAAGGCTTGGGGCAGAGGTCGCTGCTATAAACGAGAGGCTGCGGGTTCGAGACGCACTTCAGGTCGTGTTTCAGTTCCCCGCTCCAGTCGGCGTGGGATGCTGCAAAAGCTCATGACCAGTTGGCATGACCTAATGGCAGTTCCATTCGTTGATCGGTAAGGGGCGTGGGCGCGCGGACAAGGCCGGTCACGCAGGAGAGACAGGGTCGGACAAGGCGGGGTCGACCCCAGCAATGTCCGAGAGCGGCGGACCGCCGTCCGCGCCGCGCGGCCTGTTCGCCGCGTCGCCTGGGCGTCGGCTCTCACGGCCGCCGGGCCGAACGGGGCCGTCACACGGGCGCCCGTCCGTCGCCCGCGCCGCATGCCGTGTGCAGGGGCGGCCGCCGCTTCTCGGAGCGGCTCGCCCCGCGCCTGCCGGCCGGACATGCCCCGGCTGGCGGCGGAGCTGCTTTTGTGTGGTCT